GGGGCGGCATGAACTTGTTCATTACCAATGAACCATGGGTAATGGACAAAGGACGGAGACAAGACGGACTGGGTATGCTAACTCCGAAGATGAGCACACCATACAAGGACTTCGTTTACACAACCCTGCTTTTGCCTATGGTTTGTCCGGAAGCCATCCCCATTGGTGACATCATCCCTATTCGTGACATCATTCTCGTCGGCGAGGTCATCCCCAGCGGGCGACTACAGAAAACGGGGATAAGGGGGATGCTTTTCTTGTCATGCTTGGGACAGTACTGACTACATGAGCACCTCCGAGGAAGTGGGCGTTGTCATGGATTAAGGATACCATCGGGGCTATGTCGGGAGTGAGGTGGGATGTCCGGTGTAGGCATGAGGACAGTATGTTGGGCATTATATCTATAGCACAACTGCCATTGGAGTCCATGAGGGAGGTGGAGGGAGGCGGTTCCACGCCCGCCTGATGGGTTCCCAGAAACCAGATTTCAACCTCTTCTTCTGAAAAGAGGGTATGAAGAAGTAGACCCAGACGTCCTGGGGTCTGCTTAGCTCTCATTCTTTCATTAGGATTCGTTCAACAATAGAGACCCAGTGTTCCCCGGTTCCCAAGTTACTTACCCTCACAAGCCAGTTTCTCAACTGGGCTTGGCTCCTCCTGGCTGGGTCCAACAAACCAAGACCCCCTTGTGTTCTCGGAAATGTGAGAGTGTAAAATGCTACTTTTGACAGGAAACCCTCCGTGCTCTGAGTACGTGGTTTCCAAATGAACCGTGCGATCATCCTCTTAACTGCCCTAACTATCCCTTCCGCAAGCTCCTTCACTGTGGATACTAACCACAAAATAGAAAACAGGGCCACATTGGCCACTAGCGCTCTACCTCAGGCTATTAGAGACAGGTGTCAGGTGTTGCCCCACAGCTTCAATTTGGATGCAATCCGTTGCTGCAGCACCAGTCCCTGTGTCGACACATCGATTTGCATGCTAATAAGGACTCCCCAAAACCTCTCCTCCTCCCTTGCAACTACCTTTTTCATGCCTCATTCGACCTTCAAAACAAACTGAGTAGGAAGCATATACGTGGATTTGTTCCAATTTACCGTTGTTCCTGACAGCGCAGAGTATTCACACAAAATGTGTCTTAGAGCAGACAACGAGGGCGCTGTGTTCTCAAATATTCCGAACAGGTCATGCACCAGAGCCTTGACTTTGCACACCCCCCCGGTATGAAGTTGCAGGCCCCTTCAAGTTATGTCTGGATGTCTACGGATCCTGTTCAACAATACTTCCAGCTGCAATACAAATACTAGAGGTGTCAGCGGACAACCTTGGCACAGCGACCTTGAAAGAACGAACTACTCTGACAGATTGTCGTTTATTATGATTGCTGATGTGGAGAAACAGTACATGGCCTTGATCCAAGCACAGAAACCCTCCCCAAAACCCATCCACCTCAGGTTGGTGAGGATGAATGGCCACCCCACCTTGTCATACACCTTTTTCAAGTCAAGGAGAGGGATTGCCATGTCCAGCCCCTCACTCTGCACCACTTCCAATGTCTCGATGGCGGTCACAATATTGTTGAAGATAGATCTTCCTCTCACAAAGGCACCCTGGTCACCTTCTACTAACTTCGACAGGTGCTTTGCGAGCCTGCGTGCCAGAGATTTTGCCAGAATCGCTAATTGCGGACCTCCACTTTGTCTCTTTTTTTTAAAAGAACGAAGATCACCCCGTGCGTCATACCCTTCCCCAGTTTGCCCCCCGCCAAGACTTCGTTATACAGGTCCACTAACTTGGGCCCAACAGAAGCCCAGTTAGCGGAGTAGAATTTCACCGTAAGATCGGCTACACCAGGGGATTTACACTTTGCCATCGATTTGAGTGTCTGTGTTGTTTCTTCTAGAGTAAGTGGCCGGTCCAGGTCTAACCTTGCGGATGTTTGCAGCTTCACCGTGGTGTCATTCCACATGTCCGATGTCTTAGCTAGGTCAGAGTCTACTGCCTCATTTGACCTTCTGGTGGTCAGGACGTCTTCGTAGTATAACCTTGCGTATTGGAGCATTCCCGTAGCCGAACTTGCTGGAGGGGCCGTGTGGTTGAAAGGGTGTCTGAGCTCCACCATCTGCAGATGGTTCCTGTGCAGTTGTAGTCTTTGAAAAGTCTCCTTAGTCATTTTGTCATTGAACTCAATCCTCTTTACTCTCAGAATGTCAGACCACCTTTTTTGTTTCTCCTCTTGTAAATTATCCCATTCCCTGATGCGTCTCTCCCTCTCCGCCGCCCAAACCATCACTGAGATGGGGTGACCATCCATTCTCTCCTCCGCTTCCTCCATTCTTCGTCTGCACTCTGCCTCTCTTTTGTTTCTCTCCTTCGCCAAAATTCTTGAGATGACATCCATTACACCTAATGCAATGGCAATACCACCGTCCAACCAGTCTGCTGTGGATTCGAAGTAGCCCCGCGTCCGCTTCCAGCTCTGCGTATGCTGCGTGACCCATTCATTCACCCCCGGCTCCTCCAACACTTAGCTGCTGAGGCGGAAGAAGCCTCACCCCCTCGAGGAGTCTGCTGTTAGCCGGATGTCTGAAATCACCGGCTTATGATCAGAGAAAGGGTTGCAGCCCAGTCTGACCACTGTAACCTGCTCCCTGATTTGTTCACTTACCAAGAAAAAATCCAGGCGCCTTCTTGTTATAGCCTGCCTGTCTCTGGCGAGGTTTGGGAACCAGGTGTACCCACGAACACCCGGGTTCAGAATTTGAAATGGGTCCACCACTTCGAGGTCCGAGCATAGTTCCAGCAGTGATTTCACATCCCTTTTGTCCGCATAGGTTGACCTGCTACTTAAAGCATCGTCTAGGGATAAGTTCCAGTCCCTCCTAGGACCAACCGCTCGACTGGCGGGATGTGCAACATCAATCTTGAGAAAAAACGTGACCTCTCCCCTGCCTCCGTCGGAGCGTACACCGTCATGAACAGCCACTCTTCATTTGCCACCAGAACTTTCATCCACGTCCATCTCCCCCAAATGTCTGCTTCCGAGTCAATTACGGTAGCTTGCAAATCCCGGTGCAACAGGATGCACACTCCACCTCTAGTTCCCTGCGTTGGGGCCCATATCTGAGGGCCCTCCCACCAAGACGCAATCTCTTTGATCTTTCCGTCGTTCAGCTTCGTTTCCTGTAGCATTATGCAGTTTGCTCTGCACTCATGCAGCCATGTCTTCATACGTCTCCTCTTATCTCTACCACTGGTGGATCCCAGACCTCGAAAATTCCAGGGGACCATTCTCAATCTATCTGTCTACGAGCGTTGCTTCCACGTTGACTTGGATGCGGGACGGAGTTTGAGTACCAGGTTGTGCTTGCCTGCAGCCAGAAGTGCTTGATTTCCTGTTCCGCGAGCTTCCTGGGGATTAACTGACATGAGACGCAGACCTCCACTCTTCTATCAGTCTTGTTGCCAAAAAAACAAAGTGAAAATCTTCTTCTTTGAGCAGTTTTTCGTTTACCGTTAGCAGGGCCGTTGCAGAGACCCCGGGGAGAATACGAATAGCATTGAGTTCCGTGACATGCTCGTCGTGGATCAGGCTCCGGTGGTACCAGCGGATACCAGCCTGTGATAACACCTCCACCGTCTCAGGAGGTAGTATATGCGCATCCAAGAGGGGGAAGTACATCTTCATGTAACCCTCCACTATTTTCAGGATGATGCTGGCCATGGTGGAGTATGGGATGAGCCTAACTGGTACATGCTCCCCATATAGCCTTCTGGTGACTTCAAGGATTTGATACGGTGAAGGGGAGCAGTCCACCTCTGCTGATGGCAGGAGCGGTTGTCCCTCCACATCCAAGTTGTCGCCATAAAAAACACACCACTGTCTGAGTGCGCGCACAGAATAGGAACCGGTCTTCTTTGAACTGATTCCATGTGGTTCCTTTCTATAGTTACCGCCCTCATCTCCTTGTCATGCAATCTTCTAGACTCGTTTCTCAGTTCGCGGCCCGACCCTGTCGAGCTTTCTACCGATGAGGAATCTGACTTCCTTGAATCGTCGCGGTTGTTATCCTCACACTCACTGCTCCACCTCACTCTCGACTAGGAGGTGATCGAAGTTTTGGATAAATCGTCTCGCAGTCTTGCGACATTCTGTTGTGATCCTACAGGCTCTAGACCTCCCCCCCCTTCGGCTACCTCTTCCTCTTCTCTAACAGGGGTGAAGTGGTGGCTTGGTTCCGGCCCCCAGGACCTGGTACCTGCCCCTCTTTGCCTCCAGTTGTCCTCTTTTCACGAACACAAGCGAGAGGAGGAACCATTCTTCCTTCTTCTAATTGAGGAGCCACTCCCGTCCCATCTTGGTCCTTCCGATATCTGTGAACTTCTTTCAGGCGGTGGGGGCGCCAGATGCCTCTAGTCATAGCAATCTGAGGGGTAGCCCGATTGGGGATGCACCACCTGGTTAAGACCGACCTCGTACCCAATACCCCGGGGGTGACCTGGCTGCAACTACTGCTGCTGATGGTAGAAGACACCCTCGTCTGGGAGAGCTTGATGTGTCGAGAAAACCTGCCAGCTTGGAGGTGGGGGAGGAGGGGGGCCAAAACCTCCCCTATCCAGTGGAATCTCTCTATGTGAGTAGCTCCCATTCCCTCGTGGCCAGTCCTCTCTCGGTTGCCATGGGGCTAGGATGGATGTGTAATGTCCCCTGGCCAGGTCATTTCTCCACACTTGCTCACTACCCCAATCGTGTGTTGCTCTCTGCCCCATTGTCTAACTGGTTCCTGCCGCCAGGGGCCGTTATCTCCTCCGCTGGGAATGTGATGATATTCTGCTTGAACACCTTGTGGCGGCTCTCTGTTGCATTCCCCTTGGGACTGTTGCGCTTGTGCCTGGTGTTGATGGTGCCTCGGGCCTGAGTTGTTCAGGTTTGGTTGACGCTGATTATCTCGTTGATGTGACTGAGTACTTTGCAGAGGCGCGTTTCTTTGCGAATCCTGTGGGGCCGGCCTCTGAGACCGGGTGATCTCCTCCCCTCCTCTTGCCTCCCTTCTCGATGGTCTCACTTGGCTTTAGATAAACTCCCGAAATCGTGCTTTGTGCCCTCCCTGCCGCATGCCATTGACCCTATGGCTTTCGCCAGTCTGACGGCGGGGGCAACTTTCCTCTATGTGGTAGTACCACCTGCATTGACGACACCACTCAGTGTAAGGAGATACAACTTCCACTTTCCACCTTTCCCCCTCTGGAGATTCGATTACCAGGTCATCATCTATTCGGTAACGCGCTTCTGGCGGCATGTCGAACTTCACATTCATCAGCTTGGGCATGTCTCTGTCGTATTCCGGATTGTGCATTGCAATAACCTCCCCCCAAACCCCCTTGACTGTGCTCAGCAGGTAATAGTATGCCTCAAAAGGAACCCTCAAGGCCATAATCCAGAACTTCGTTGCCGCCTCTTGTATCCACACGTTCTGCATTTCCTGCTTGGACAGGCGAGGCTTGAACTGGACTGTGTACTCTAGTTCCAACTTCATCTTTAGTTCACCTTCCCGTAGTAACCACTTTGCGATCTCTTTTGCCTTCGCCACGTAGGAGGCAACATTTGGACCTTCAAACTTTACTCGACCTCGTCTGACACCTGGATCGAACAATCTTTTGGCTGTCCACCCGTCCTTATATGCTCGTATCAAATCTTCCTTGACTGATCTAGCCAACTTGCGAGCTTCTCCCTGGAATATAACTAGAACGGACCTCTCCTTTAGGAATTGATCTTTCACCTCGTTAACTAATCCATTCACGACAAATCGTTTCCCTTCCCCGTCTTCAACCACCTCACCCAAGCATAGGTCATTGGGGCATACCCCCTCGTCGTAACATCTAGTCACTGAAGCCCGTACTCTGGATCGATTCTCGTCAGTAGCGAGGGGATTTGGGTGGTGTTGAGCCTCTACATGACTGAGAACCCCTTCCATAATGCCTCTCTGCACCCTTCCCCTGATCTGGGTTGGCATCTAGTGTGTCGGGGAGGACTACTCTTTCCCCTGCTGGATATGCTACCGGCTGAAGTCTCGGGCGGGCAGACCGGCTTGCGAGTTACTATGAAGAGACTTATGAATGGTTTACCCTGTATGGTTACTACCGTACCGAAAGCACCCTTGGGCAATCATATGTGAAACGGAAGGGGAGATGGGGATTTTCGCCTTGACGAATATGCAGTAATACAACGAGAAGGGATAATCTATCATTACTAGAGTTATACCTTCCGTTCTCCTAACTACTTGCTTCCGCTGCAACCGTCGCTGCCAACAACCAAGTCCTCGACCATACTTGTAATTTGCAAACCAATTTGGCACGCACCCGAACCAGTATTGAAAGAACCTGACCTACGACAGCAGATGCATCAATAGGATAGCTTGGGTTGCTACCGACTGGCGTTTCCAACTGGGGATTGTCCGGTGATATCCAAATTTACTGTGCAACACCTTTCACCACGGGACCGCATCCTACCATGTTTTTCTCACTTTTAGTCACTCCCTGACTCTCTCCCGCTTCGGCCACGTGCAGCAAAGACTTACTACTCATGCTTGGTGAAGATGGATCTAACCAGATGAGCGACCAAACTCTTGCGGTTTGGAAGTAACCCCGCTGCTCGTCCAATCTATCGCATCCATATACTTCCTCCTCCGAATTCACTGTGCAACACCTTTTACCACCTGACCGCATCCTACCATGTTTTTCTCACTTTTAGTCACTCCCCGACTCTCTCCCACTTCAGCCACGTGCAGCGAAGACTTACTACTCATGCTTGGCGAAGATGGATCTTAACGAGATGAGCGACCAGACTCTCGCGGTTTGGAAGTAACCCCGCCGTTCGTCCAATTTATCCCGTCCATGTCCTTCCTCCACGAGTAGTCTACTCCGCCGGGTGAACAACAATCCCACTCCTCCTACTTGTCCGAGACATCCTCTATTTCCTTCCCGACCTAAAACGGACCACTTTTAAGTCGATACACTTACCGTGGTTGCTTGGTGACGCATTCCTCGACGAGCATCGGTGAGAAGGCACCAAGGCAGGCACTACCTCGGGGAAACCACCCGTGTTCGACTTCCCCGACGGCAGCCTAGCGAGGAATACCGCGAACTCGCTTCCGACTATCGCCCCATTGCGCACGGTCGTTACCTACTTCCTACCCCTGGGCACCACCTCTTCCGAACATCACCAAATTTCCGAGTTACCATCGCTAAGTTACTCTGGTATCCGAAACATCATCCGTCATCTCCGGGCTACCATCGCCGAGTTACCATCTCCAAGTTACCTTCCTATCCCTACCTTACACTACGGGACAACCGGGGAGACAACAACTACGAGGGGGCATAGCCCCTCTCCCGAAGAGGTAGAGCGCAGCGCGTACTCCGTAACCCGTCTCGATGGCGGGGAACACGGCCCGGTAGTGCCTAACGCGCTACCCACGTCGGGCGATGGCCTTCAGCGGAGTGCTAACGCTACTCGCCCGCTAACGCCGCTCCACCCACCCTTCCCATGGGTCCCATTTTCCCTCTCTGATCCTCTGCAAGTAAAAAAAAAAAAAGAAATTGTGTGGGGTCCATGGGAGCTTCATCACCGTGATTGTTGGCACTGTGGTAGGCACACCGGCTGGGATTCAGGCGCCACACGTGGTTTGGACTGGACACGCAGTTGTGCGGCAGGGGGGCGGTTCGAGTTCTCACTGTTCTGTGAGCCCACCATACCAGTGATGGGTGGCGCCCGCCACCTAGAGATATGCCGTTGGTCCCCCCGAGTGGCATTGAGCAGAGACTGCTGATGTTCATAGGGGGAGGGGACCGGAGGGGAGGCACAGTGACTGGCCCATCGAAGAAGCTCGGTCCTGATGCTACCGGCTGACCCCTGGCCGGTATCGCCCACCTGCTGTAGCAGGTATCGCACCTGCTGGTGGGTGCAGCTCCCGCATGTTCCCTCGTTGGAGGCTTGAGCACGGATGTGGCTGCTACGGGGTTCCCCGTTATACTATAATGACAATAAAATGACAATGAAAAAGGCCTGAAAGGCCGTCCTGTCCAGATTTGACAGGTAATTGAATTGGTTGGGCTTCAAAGAATTAGCCTTTTTAAAAAGAGTCAAAAAAAAAAAAAAAAAAAAAGAAGAAGAAGAAGAAGAAGAATCCCCAGAGCCCCTCCACCGAGGGGCTCAAACGGGCCTCTGATTCTCAAGACTTCGGTACCCGTCCTCCCCGGAACACAATGTACCCACATTTTTGGACGCACGGGACCAGAAACATAGCTTGTATACATTTTTCATTAGCGTGCGTTGTGTTCGGGGGAAGTCGGTAGCTGGGTGTTGGCGTGGAAGTATCTGAGACTCGTTAGCGAGGACAAACCCTAGACTGCTCTAAGCTTCCCATGATATGAATGAATGATGGGTGCGCTGCAGTTGCAAGGCCCCTCTAGCAAAGGGGACTGGATGGCTGAAGCCGATGAATCTGGACGTGTTCCACGCAGACATGCAGAAAAGCAGATCAATCGCGATTTAGGTACCTCCTCTCAAACACGTCCAGATTCAGGAGTGAAATCCCATCATCTGTGCTACCGGTAATGGGACCTCGCCCTAGCAGTTGGCATGCATAACCCACACCGCAGGCCTTTTCGTTGCCCCCTCCCCTCCCTCCCCCCTCCCCCGCTCTCCCCCCCACCTCCCCTCTCTCCCCTCTTTCTCCTGTTCGCTTTCCTCTTCTGAGAAAAAGGTACACGTTGTTTTTCCTTCTGCAAGGCTGTAGCCTCTAACATTACGCCACAGCGCAGACTATAGCATCAATTTTTTATTTTTTATTTATTTTTAATTATAACATCATTTTTGAACTCACGATCCCCCTATCGGCGGTGTATCTTTCCATAAGCTATCTTTCGGCAGATTCACTCTCGTTTTGCACTTTTTCGACAGTTGTGCAGCGAGGCCCATTGTCGTTGTCACATTGAGCGACCAGTGAGCCCCAAGCCTGCGTCTATTCCGATTGATGCCTTTGAGATACCGCCATTCATCAGCAATTTCACCAGCCGTAATTTCAGCATCGTGGTATGGTATTTTATTCACTCATCTGCTTTTTCCAGAGGACTTCGACCCCTGCGTTTATATTTGAACAGTTTAGGGTTGTACTAACTGAGCTAAGGCCAGTTGGTTGGCTTAGCGCGTCTATTCGTTGGCCGTGGTTGAGCTATAGCTTCAGGTGGCAGGCGGGGTCCACACCACACTTTGCACATCGGCGCCGGTTTCGCGTCGGGGTGAAACTTTTTGAAAGAGGCGTTTTTTTTCTCTCATTGGCGCTCGATGCCGCCCGGCGTGTGTGTTGCCGTTGCGCTCGATTTTTATTTTGGTCATCGACCGCCATTTGTTTTTTTTCTTTTTCTTATACAAAGACCGCCATTTTTCCTCTTTTGACGAGTATCCAACGGCCCTAGGGCCTTGCTCCAGTACTTGACATTTTACATGCATGTAGAGTACTTTCTGGACCATATGCATTCGGAGGAGTACAACATTTTGAGTGTACAGAAACAGCGGTAACGCCCAGATACATTTAGAGTGTTGTCTAGTGGATCGAGGGGCCCCTGTTCCCCTTTTGTGTAGGGCTGCATTCTATTTCGATATACATACACTTTCTATATACACTGACTACGACCCCTCTTCTCTGTCGTCTACGGAGCGCACGTCCATCCCGGGGATTCCTCCCCC